CGCCTGCTGCCAGCCCTGCCCTCCCTCTCCCCTCCCCTACCCAGGTCCCACGAGAATGGCTTCATGGAAGATCTGGATAAGACATGGGTTCGGTATCAGGAGTGTGACTCCCGAAGCAATGCTCCTGCGACTCTCACATTTGAGAACATGGCAGGTGGGCCTTCCATGTTGCCTGGGTACTGGGGTGGATTCTCTAGGGGGCTACAGCCTCTGGGCAGCCCGCTGAGGCACTGGGTACTTCACACAGGGGTCTTCATGCTGGTGGCTGGAGGCATCGTGGCTGGGATCTTCCTGATTTTCATCGAGATCGCCTACAAGCGACACAAGGATGCCCGTAGGAAGCAGATGCAGCTGGCCTTTGCCGCAGTGAACGTGTGGAGGAAGAACCTGCAGGTAGGACAGGCCACCCTCCGAGGCCTGGCGTCCAGGGCCCCGCCAGGCCACGGCCCTGCTCTATCCCTACAGGCCGTGGCTCTGGCTCTGGCTCATGGGCAGGACTGGTGCTAGGAGCCATGGCCAGGGGCAGTGGTGAGTGTTCCCAAGACACAGGGGCAGCACAGGCAGGAGCTGCCTGCAGGTGGCCACCCACTGCCAAGCTGGGCCAAGGGAGGCCCTGCACCCTGCTCCAAGCTTCTGCCTGGCCCCTCTGTTTCCAGAGTCACCTACTGGCACCCAATCCATAGGAAGGCAAACAGGCAGGGTAAGACAAGGGCCCACCTGTGTGTAGCACGTGATCTGAGATGCACTTGGCCCTCTACCATCCAAGCTCCTTTGATACCCCTTCCGGAGACCCCTTTTCTTACTGTGTCCAGCTCTGTGACTCCAATCTAAATGGGGCTGGTCTGCCTCTCCCTGGTGCCTCAGGCCACGTCCATGTGGATTTGTGGCTAGCTGCATGTGGGATGGTCAGAAGCCACCAGGGAAAAGGGCAGGGTGGGCAGTGAGGTTCACGCAGGCCTGAGGACTAGTGGCCAATGGCCAGGTTCCGATTCACTTGTCTCTTCTCTCTCTCTGGGTGTCTTGCTGGAGCTGTGTCCTGAGCTGACATTGACATTGCAGTGAGGAGTGTGTGGGGACAGGGCTATTGGAGCCCCCACATCTCTCATCCACCCATTCTTGCTTTTGGCCCTACAGGTCCCCTGGGGACCTGGCCACAGCTGTCCAGGGCCATGCTGGCCATCAGACTCCAGGCCAGTGCCCCCGGATCTGCCTCTGTCTATCAATCACTCCAATTCCAACCGGACACCTCCTCGGGTCCTTGGCCCCGTCCTGGTGTGTGCCTTTTGGGGTCGGCAGCCTCTGCACAGAAGGGCTGGTGTGGCCTGAGAGGAAGCTCTTCCTGTCCTCAGGGGCTCCTCCTCCTCAGGATGCCTCTAAGCCAGGGCCACCCGGGAGCCAGGGAGCCAGGCGGACATCCCAGGAAGCGTGCCAGCAGGACCCCCAAGCCCAGCCCCAGCACAAGCAAGGACAGGCTCAACCCCGGGCAGAAGAGGCCACTCTCGAAAGTCTGGCTGTTGGTCGGTCTGTTCAGCACAGTGAGGCAGGCAGGATTCAGGGCCTGAGTGGCCGGCCAGGCCTGGCAGCGGCCCCCAAGGAGCAGGCAAGGGCAGGTGTGGCCGCCACCCTTAGCCATCTAATCACTTATACATATTCATTTTAGGATAGAAAGAGTGGTAGAGCAGAGCCCGACCCTAAAAAGAAAGCCACATTTAGGGCTATCACCTCCACCCTGGCCTCCAGCTTCAAGAGACGTAGGTCCTCCAAAGACACGGTAAGGGGGAAGCACCCCAGTCCCGCGTCTCTGACTCCTCCCTTGCCCCATGTCTGTCTCCCTCTCCCTCACCATCCCACCCCTGCCCCCCGCCTCCAACCCTGGCCATCTGTGCCGATGCCCCGAGTCAGTCCTTCACCCACCCTCCACCCATGCAAGGGTGCCGTCCTTTAGAGCTCTCCAGAACGCTCCTCCAGCCCTCACTGGTCCTCAGCTTCCCCATGTGTCTCCACGTTAGTCCGCCCACCTCTCTCCCCATGCCATGACCCACACGCCATCCGGAAGCCGTGTCCTGTCGTTGGTCAGTCAGTCAGCCTCACCATCTCTCCGGGCTGCCCAGACCCTGGGAACTAGAGTAGCCCTGTCCCAGGTTGTCCCTGCCAGGCCACACCACGTCTGTTTCATCCCTGTTTCTCTTGCCTCCACAAGGGGCTCGATGCCCTCCTTCTTGACCTGCAACAGCTCTGGAGGGTGTAGCTGTGATGTCCCATCCCGTCCGTCTGTCTGGCCGCTGGCCCCGCCCCCCAGACACCTGTCTCACCTGTCTCACCAGAGCCATGCGTGTTGCATCTTCCATGTGGTCTCTGTGTGGGCCGGGGGCTGGGGGCTGGGCCTGGGTCCATCTGGGTGGACGACTGGGGCCTAGCGTTGGCACTGACCCTGGGTCACAGGGAAGACTGTCAGGTGGGGAGTGGGGTGGGGCCAGGCTGAACAGGTCCCTGATGGAGGTGTGGCTGCATCGCCCAGGTGGTCTGAACGTGGATAGGGTGTCCCTGGAAGTCCTGGCCTGAGCGCCCAGGGCAACCCTGACGTCCTCAGAGGGAGGCCGAGGAAGGGGAGGCTCAGACCCCCAAGCACTGCCACAAGGCCACTGTCAGAGCCAGAAGCCCTGTACCCTGCCTTGCGCAGCATGGTGCTGCACCAGAAAGGCATGCTCAGAAGAAAGTCCTCCAAAGGATCCCCGTTTTGCCAGTCACCCTGGTCCTAGGCAGCTACCCTCTAGCCTCCAGGAAGCCCCTCTAACCCGTGGGCAGTGTCACCACAAGGGGCTCGTGTCCCATGAAGAACCTGGAGGGGTAGTTACAGCACCCTATGCCCTGGAAGGAAGGCAGGCACACAGACAGGATTTGGTACAGAGCCATCCAAGTTCCAGGCTGAAACTACTAGCGTGCTCCAGAGAGACGCATGAGGCGCGGCTGCTCAGTTCTCTGAGGGCCTTGTACAGCAAGAGTGGACGGAGCGTGAGGGTCTGTGGGCTGCACCAACTTGAGGCTCCAGGAGCTGGTGCAGACACAATCTCCAGGGTCCCCCCAGACCAGGGAAAGTGGGCACGGCCTATGCTACAAGACCTGAGCCAGGATCCCCACAAGGGGGCGCAGGGGAGGGAGAGCAGGGCTGAGGGCGCTGGGGCTGGAACTTGTGTGGGAAGCGAAATCTGACAGAGAAGAGAATCTGTACTTTTGGGGCCAGGTGGCCAAAGTTCCTGCAGGTGGCAGGCCATTTTCAGAGGGCGTCACTCAGTCTTGGGGCCCCATCTGGAGCTGGCCAGGTACAGCTCAGAGATCTACACGGTTCCTTTTTCTGGGCACTTGTTCTCAGTTCAATCTTTACCTGAGCCTCCCTGGGCACCAGGGACCCGTTCTTCCGGGCCATCTGAAGCTGGCCCCACCCTGCAGGGTTGACCTCTGGGCATTGCCACTGTGGGCGGGGTGGGGGAGGGTAACCCAGCTCCCACCCTGTCTCTGGGGCTGGGTGCTGTTCAGAGGGAGGCCTGGGTGGGGGCTCCTTTGGGTGGGGTGGGGTCGGTCCAGCTGCTGAGATCCTCTGCCCCTGTCCTGTGGCCGGTCCGGGCCAGGGCAGCACTGGGCGCTCAGGGCTGGGATCCCTGGTGGCCGGCGGGGCCAGCAGGTATTGATTGTTGGTTCTTATTTATAGAGCACCGGGGGTGGACGCGGCGCTTTGCAAAACCAAAAAGACACAGTGCTGCCGCGACGCGCTATTGAGAGGGAGGAGGGCCAGCTGCAGCTGTGTTCCCGTCATAGGGAGAGCTGAGACGCCCCGCCCGCCCTCCTCTGCCCCTCCCCCGCAGACAGACAGACAGACGCACGGGACAGCGGCCTGGCCCACGCAGAACCCCGGAGCACGACGGGGTCGGGGGAGGAGCACCCCCAGCCTCCCCCAGGCCGTGCCCGCCTGCCCGCCGGTCGGCCGGCTGGCCGGTCCACCCTGTCCCGGCCCCGCGCGTGCCCCCGACGTCGGAGCTAACGGGCCGCCTTGTCTGTGTATTTCTATTTTACAGCAGTACCATCCCACTGATATCACGGGCCCGCTCAACCTCTCAGATCCCTCGGTCAGCACCGTGGTGTGAGGCCCCCGGAGGCGCCCACCTGCCCAGTTAGCCCGGCCAAGGACACTGATGAGTCCTGCTGCTCGGGAAGGCCTGAGGGAAGCCCACCCGCCCCAGAGACTGCCCACCCTGGGCCTCCGGTCCGCCTGCCCTGCTGCCTGGCGGGCAGCCCCTGCAGGACCAAGGTGCGGACCAGAGCGGCTGAGGATGGGCCAGAGCTGAGCCGGCTGGGCAGGGCCACAGGGCGCTCCGGCAGAGGCAGGGCCCTGGGGTCTCTGAGCAGTGGGGTGAGGGGCCTAAGTGGCCCCGGTCGGAGAGGTCTGGAGCGAAATGGCAGCCCCATCCTTCCTCCAGCCACCACCCTAAGCTACAGTGGGGGCCCATGGCCCCAGCTGGCTAGGTCACCCACCCACCCCTCCTCCAGCGCCTGCTCTCTGCAATCTGAGTTCCACCTCTCTCCTGCTGCACCACCCTCCCACGACCCTTCCCCACCCCATTCGCAGGGCTGGCCCTGACCTTTCCCAGAGTCAGCCCTCACTGCCCTACTGGCAGCGCTTCCCAGGGGTGCTCTCTGGCTCCCAGCTGTCTACGGCTCCAGACTCCAGGAAGGCTGACCCTTCTCTTCTGCCTGCAGCCACAATAGGCTTCCTCAGACGCTGGCTCGCAACGAGCCCCGCACCTTGGGCACCAGGGAGCGCCATCGGCCTCCCATTCGGGTGTCACTCACTCACCCACCACCTTGTACATGACCAGCTCTCCCAGTGTCCAAGCGCGTGCCTTCCCCGTGCCGCTGGTGCGTAGCCGCGCACTGCCCCTCTGCCCCAGGGACACCGGGCGCGCACAGCTACCCCTAACCCCGGTATTCAGTGGTGATGCCTAAAGGAATGTCCAAAATTTTCCGGTTTTTTGTCTATTGTTGACGCCTACAGGGAGTTTGAAGGGAGGCCAGGGATTTGGGGAGAGTTTTCAAAGTGTGCAGCACTGCGGGAGAGCTAGAAACAACCGCGGCCCCTTAGGCTTGGGTTGCTGCAGCTGTAGGGCTCCCAGCACCCTCCTGGGAGGCTGGGCCCTCCGGGTCTAGCTGTCTCCTTAGTAAGGGGCGCACCGTGATGCGGCGGCGGCGCCGCCGTGCACCACAGGCAGTGAGCACGGAGCCCAGTGCCAGGCAGATGGCCAGACTGGCGAGGAAAGAGACCGGCCCGAGAGCGTATACTACCGCCAGGTCTCGCGCTGCGAGTGGCCGAGCGCAGTGTCTGAAGGCCGCATCCGGAAAGGCTGTCAGTAGGCTGAGCGTCTGGCGTCTTGGAGACACGCAGAGCAGGGTCTCAGTTTCTGCGGGACACAGGAGCGGCATCAGATGGCAGCAACTGCACCAAACATTATCTGTCCTGCGCCCCAGATGGCTCACCTGAAGGGGGACGCGGGTGCTTGCGCAGCCAGGTGCAAAGCGGGCGCAGCGCGCAACTGCACGTCCAGGGGTTGCCATGCAAGCGCAACACGTCGAGCGCGGGCAGGCTATTCAGCAAACCCGCCTCGAGCGCCGACAGTGAATTGTCCTGCAGGCTGAGCACGCGCAGTAAGGGGAGCGCGCCCAGGATCGAAGGCTCCAGGAGTGTCAACCGATTACCCGCTAGGGAAAGGAAACGCAGCGCCCGCAGCGGCGCGAAGGTGCCAGGAGACAGAGTTTCCAGCTGGTTGGCGCTCAGATCCAGCCATTGCAACACGCCCAGACCCCAGAAAGCTCGAGCGTGCACCGACCGGAGCTGGTTCTCCCGCAGGTCTAGGTATAGCAACGAGCCTGCCCCAGCGAAGGCCCCTGGAGGCAGTGCGCTCACGCGATTGTGATCCAGCAGTAGCGAACATACTCTCCAGCTCAGGCCGGCTGGTACCGCGGGCAGCTCGAGTGCGGAGCAATTGGCCTTGCCACCTAGCGAACATGAACATGCCTCGGGGCACTCTGGAGCCCCCGGGGATCTAGAAGGGGCAGTTCCTACGTGCTCCTGGGTCCAGGCTGGCCTCAACGACAGCAGCAGCAGTAGGGACAGTTGCGGCGGAAGCCGCGAGAGAAAGGAGGCCCGCATGGGGGCAGCTTGAGAACACAAGGGGACCCAGATCCCTGTGCGGCTTCGGAGTCCAGGTGACTCGGCGTTTGTCCCTGCCTCACCTACAAAAGTATTAACTCTCCTGCCCAAGCACAACAATTTCTGTCCCACAGCTGGTTCCTTGCCTTGGGCGGGGGCTAGGCACAGAGCCAATGCCCAATACTGCCAGCCACCTGTCCAGAGCTCGTCTTGGCTTGGCCCTGAGCCTGTAGTGGAGCTGGTGAGACCACTGGACTCCCCACTGAGACCTAAAGAGCAGGATCAAACCCATCGGCTCCACACAGAATGCAGCTCACAGTGCCTTGCTCCATACCCCAGTTTCAAAGTCATTCCTTTTCAGCAAAAAGACCCCATAGAGGCTGCTCAGTCCCTGGACAGAGGATAGATGGGGGTATAAGCACATGATGGGCCTAAATGCAAAGGAAAGATCTTGAAGTGTAGTGATCTTTAACCTGAGGCTAAAGAGGGAATGTAGGAGAGCAGTTGCTTCAACCCCCTCCACCTTGGAGCCCTTGAGGCTGTGACAGTCAGTGGAAAGGAGTGTGCTGGCCCAAGTCTGGTCAGTGCAGCTCCCTTTTGACTTGCCAGCTGCAGGTCCTGTCTTGGGGAATCTGGGAAGTAGGAAGAGCCCAGGGTCAGTCATCTTTGTAAGACCAACAGTAGGAAGATGAAGAGAAAAGCTGAACTGGCCAGGTGGGCTCAGTGCCCCTGGGTGGAGACACCTCCCATGATCCATGACAAACACTACCCGGAGGGACTTGCAAGAAGGACAGCACACGATCACTAAATACTGTTTAATTCCCCAGCCTAGCTGCCCTCCACTACTCTGGCGGTGGAGGCGGTGGAGGTGGTGGTGAAGGCGGCTCCTCTAGAGGAACCTCCATGGGGATGGTCATGAGGTCAGTGTTCTCCAAGGACGGCATGGATACCTCCAGGTCAGGGTCCAAGAGGTGGGACTCCACGCGCACCGAGTGCAGGTCTAAGTGATCTTCCTGGACCCCAAAGGGTCCCATCAACCTGTGTGATGGGCTAGGTCAGCAGGATCTGGCAGGGCCGTGGCCACCCAAGAGAAGCCGGCCCTTGAGGACATTGCTCTGGATGCCACTGTGACCTGTACTTCCAGGAGTGGGCAGAGAGAGGACACAGCTCCCCCTTGAGGATCCCCCTGGCACACTTACCTGTCTTCCACGAGTCCGGAGCACGAATCACTGAGGGGGGCAAAGACAGGTGTGAATTCTGGAGAAACGCTCATTCCAGGTGCCTGGAAGCCACTGGAACCTCCCTCTTCCTGTCACCCCCACACCCCACATGCACTCTGGGAAACACTCTCCCCAGCCTCTCGTGACATACCACCCTAAGAAGGGGCCCCTGGGAGCACGACCAACAGCCCAGGGCCCCGCTGTGCCCGACTCCGAGTTCACGCACCCCTTGGACCGAAAGATGCCGATCGCCACAACGACAAGAGCACAGAAACAGCTGGCGCTGACACCAGCCAGCACCACGATGAGGGCAATGAGAGCCTCGCGGCTGAGGCCGAGGCTGCATTCGCAGTAGGTTCCAGCTGCAGAGACAAGGCCGCGAGCCCCGGGGGCCGGTCACCTGCCTGTGGACACCTCACATCCGCACCCCGCACCCCGGTGGCCCTCAGGACACAAATGGCTTGCCCTGCCTGGAAAAGGGAGGGACTCTGGCTGGGGGGGGGGGGCTAGCGGGAGGAGGCACCTGCAGCAGGGATGAGTAAAAGGGACAAACATATCAGGCCAAGGGGGCTGCCAGCTGGGCAGGAGTAAGGCCGGGGACAGGGGGCCATGTCCAGCCCCCAGCCCCACCACACACCTCTAGACGGAACTCATTGGAAGGTGCTGACCTCACAGTGGGGCTGTGAGGCAGAGGGTGTGGGGGCAGGGCCTCAGAGCACCCAGGCTGCCTTGAACTTCATTCCCACTTGGATGCTGGCATTCCAGGAGTCCTGGGCAGACGACCCTGGATGGAGCAGGTAAAGGAGACAGGGTCTGCAAGCTCCCGCCAGATCTGAGTCACGGGGTAGTAGGGCTCCAGTTTTAAAGACAGACAGCACTTGTAGTTAAATGGGGGAGAACCCTGCTTTGCTCTCTGGTGTTGGGGACCAAGGCCTCGGTTTGCTTTTTAACATCAGAGCTCTGAGTTAGGGCTCTACCAGGCTTCCTGTCAACAAGACCTCCCCAAGTTGAGGCAGGTAGGGGACAAGGAGGCAATGGGAGGCAGGGTAGGTGCATGTGCTCGGTTGCTCCCCTTGTTTGCTTCGGAGGACTGAGCTCATACAGCCTTTAAAGCCCAGATTAGAGGACCGCTGGCATCCTAAGGAATCCTTGATCATCCACTGGGATGGGAGAGTCACTGGCTACATAGGCCTGAGCAGAACACCACACCATATCCTTAGACTCTTACCCCCAGGGAGCAGGCAGCTCAGAAAGGACTGCAGTCTCTGGCTCGTGTCTGTCAGGCCTCAATGCCTATAGGCTGGCATGGTCAGGGTTAACGACACCTCTGTCCTGAACCTGGAGTCCCAGGCTGGCATGGTCAGGGTTAACGACACCTCTGTCCTGAACCTG